TTGGCCAGGGCTGGGTTTGAACCTGCTACCGCTGGCATATGGGGCCAGTGCCCTACTCCTTTGAGCCACAGGTGCTGCCCCCTTTTTTTTTTAAGAGACAGTCTTACTTTACTTTATCACCCTCAGTAGAGTGCTGTGGCGTTACAACTCACAGCAACCTCCAACTCCTAGGCTTAGGCAATTCTCTTTCTTGCCTTAACCTCCTGAGTAGCCCACCACAATGCCCAGATACTTTTTTGTTGCAGTTTGGTTGGCCGAGGCTGGGTTCAAACTTGCCACCCTTGGTATATGGGGCTGGCGCCACCTGCTAGTAAAGATCTTAAGCTTATGCAGTCTTACCCATAGAAACAAAAGATGTCTTACAATCAATGTCCTTCCCCAACTCCCAGCACCTCTTCTAGCAGCTATTCACACCCAGAGATTAGAAACAAGGCTCTTTATCAAAAACTAAAGATTAGGAAGGTCTACTCCAATACCTTCCCTTTAGTTTCTTCCTCTGTCTCAGTTTTGTCCTTCAAAACCATTCAGGAAGGTGTGATGCATATATAGAATTCAAAGATTCTATTTATTAGGAAGGAGATGTCAGTGCTTTATCAAAGATGAAGAGGTCACAGAGTGTTGGTTAAGACAAAAGGCCCCTCAGCTGGGACATTTCTTGGCCACAATGAGGACTGCAGAAGGCACGAGTCCTGAAAATGAAAGAAAACAGGCTTGAACTATAAAGACACTTGTTGCTTTTTGCTTCCAAAATTCCTAGGCTTGCATCATCTCCACCAAGTCCCTTCTCTTTGCATCCTTCCCTTTACCCAGGCACTCCCTCCTTCCCCTAAGCCTAATTTCTGTTCTCATATGCCATACCCAGTTCCTGCAGAGGCCGTTCCATATCAGCCTCTGAGAAGGCCCGTCTGGGGAAGCCGCTAAGCAACTGCACAGGGTCTTGGCCTCCTCCAGGTTCTTCCCCACGGTGGAGCTCCACATAAAGCCTTACAGCTGCCAGCTGTTCCCGGGCCCTGAAGGTCTGGGTCAATGAAGTCCCATCTGGCAGCCTGACCTAGAGGATGAGAAAGAGACCCAGTATTGTGTGTCAAAACTGAGGAAAGGCAGGGTATGGAGGCAGGAGGATCACTTGAGGCCAGGAGTTTAAGACCAGCCTGAGAACACAGAGAGATCTCATCTTTAATTAAGAAAATATTAGGTTGGGCACAGTGGCTCACACCTATAATCCTAGCACTCTGGGAGGCCGAGGCAGGTGGATTGCTTGAGCTTACGAGTTCGAGACTAGCCTGAGCAAAAGACCCCCATCTCTACTAAAAATAGAAAAACTGAGGCAAGAGGATCGCTTGAGCCCAAGAGTTGGAGGTTGCTGTGAGCTATGACACCATGGCAGTCTACCCAGGGCAACAGCTTGAGACTGTCTCAAACAAACAAACAAACAAACAACCATTAGCCAGGCATGGTAGGGCACATCTGTAGTCTCAGGAAGTCTAAGGCAGGAGGATTGCTTAAGCCCAAGAATTTGAGGCTGCAGTAAACTATGATCATGTCATTACACTCCAGCAGCCTGGGAAACAGTCTGATCCTGTCTCCAAAAAAAAGAAGAGCTGAGGTGCCCAAGAAAGGAGAACTAAAGCTGTACCCTCTTTCCTCGTAGGTTGATCAGCACAACTACTATTAAAGCACAAAAATGAACAACATATGCTCTGATTTACTAAATGTTCAAGAGAAAAAATTCCAGCTTCCTCACAGTCTTTAAGACAGACAAGGACATAAGGACAAGATTATACAAAAACTGGATAAACACATCAGGCAAATAGCTTTGTTAATAAAACAAATAAAAACATTAAGAACAAGTAGAAGAATAAATGCTGAATAAGAAGGAGGTATGGACTTAAATAAGACTGGGGCAGATGAAATTTGATATCTTTCCTAAGAGTAGAGGAGATAGGATTTCAAAAGTCATTTACAAAGAAGGGACAGATTTGGCAAAGGGAACTTTAATTGAAAAAAGCTCTGAGCTAAGCAACTTATGGGCTAAGAAAGGGGTCCTAGAAGCAAGACAGGAATCACAATCAGTACCTGTATGCGACACTGGTCATACTCCCTCTTGGTGGGAGGCTCCTGGCTGGGAGAGGAGGGAACAGGACCTGGCTCTGATGCTGGTGGAGATGGCTGAGAACCCACACTACCACCATACTAAAGGGCAAAGAAAATACTATGTCAGGCATCACCCTCAGGAGAATCAAATGAGTCCATGCTTTCTCTCTGAAGACAGAAAAAAGGATTTACTGGGCAGCACTTGTGGCTCAGCGCCAGCCCCATAGACCAAGGGTGGTGGGTTCAAACCCGGCCCCGGCCAAACTGCAACAAAAAAAAAGCCAGGCGTGTGGCAGATGCCTGTAGTCCCAGCTACTCAGGAGGCTGAGGCAAGAGAATTGCCTAAGCTCAGGAGACGGCTGCTGTGAGCTGTGTGATGCCAGGGCACTCTACCATGGGCGATAAAGTGAGACTCTGTCTCTAACAAAAAAATTTTAAAAAGAAAGAAAAAGAAAAAAAGGATTTACTAACCCACTTACTCCATTTACCCCCAATGTCTTCCCAGTCACCTACCTTCTTGGCTCTCTCTGCCTTGTCCCTTTCGATCTTTTCTCTAACCCTCTGTCTGGAATACAGACAAAAAGAGAGCAGGTAAGACATCAACAAAGCAAATCTTGACTTCTTTCTCATTTGTTATCTAGCATCCCCACTGCCCAGACCTGGCTGCTAACTCTTCAGCCTTTTCCCTCCTCCGTTCCTCAGCAGCCCTGCGCATCTCATCTTCCTGTAGCCGCTGTCGTGCAGCTGACAACTCTTGCCCCTGTTTCCTGCGCTGCCGCTCCCGTTCCAATGCCTCTCGTGCCTCTCTTTCCTCCCGCTCTCGCTGCTTCTGGGCCACCAGCTCCAACATCCTGTGTTGCAGAAATGAAAGAGCTCAGAGAAATGGATGAGGGTAGGAAAGTGGGTTTATAAAAAGGGACTCAACAAATTAGGCAACATGTGTCCCAAGACAGATGAAAGAAAGGAAAACGTAAAGAAAGAACTGAGGGAATGGGAAAAATCAAAGTCCTCTGCCTAGACTTACTGGGGAGAGGTGGAAGGTGACCCTCAGAGATGTGAGACTGTTCCTTACTATACCTCTTGGTCTGTTCTTGTCTTTTCTCTTCACTCAAAATGGGTTTGCCTTCTCCAGCAGCAGACCCAGGTCCTACAAACAAACAATCAGTACATTATCCCTTCAGATTCTCTTCGGGCCATCCAAAATGATCACACCATGTCCCCTAATCAGGACCTTCAGGTCCACCTTGCTCTGAGAAGGTGGGTTCCCGTCCCAGGATATGTCCAATGGGGGTGTCTAGAGGCTCGTCCACATCGGGGTCGTCTTCGTGCTCCATCAACCTGGCAGAGAAAGTCGGCAGGAAAGTTAGCGTTTAAGGTTGCCCCTCACAGCAGTCGCCAATCCTTTGCCACCCGGTCTGAGTGCTCACCAGTCCATTGCAGCCTCGATGCCCTGGTTCCCTGTGAGGGCCAGAGCCTTCTCCCTGGGGGCAGAAACACCGTGAATAGCGCCAACAAGCCATGATGTGACTGTCAAGCTAGGGCAAAAGCCAGGACAGGTTCGTGGCCTCCCACCCCCGCGGGCCGGGGTTAGAGAGACTCCCTTACGCGCGTCCCCTGGGGAAGCCCATTTCTATAAGACTCTCCAGAGCCGTCAACTCCGCCATGGCGTGGCCACCGTCGCTTTTGCGGGGACCTGGTGTGGCAAGAACGAGAGCGGGAAGGGTCAGCGCGGGGCAAATTCGCCCCCGACGCCCCCCGCCAGGCGCTGGCTCACTCACCCGGCACCGGTCTAGCCGGGGACACAGACGAGAAGAAAACCTAGAGGAAGCGGAAGTGCCCAGATCTGTTTGGGTCACGTGGAGAGGAGGGCGAACGTAGACGGGTGCCGCAGAGAGCCAGAAAACTTACGGGCTCCACCGCCAGCGTTCCGCTTGGGTGAATCGGTTGAGTGCCCCGGGTCGCTACAGGAAGCCTACCTATCAGGCTGCGGCTCCTGGTGGGAGGGCAACGGGAAGAAAAATGGTGCGGCTCTGAAACCCGTAGTCCGACTGAAGTCAGCCCAAACTGCTTCCCCTTCCCTAGAAATTGGAAGGAGGGGGCGGCACCCACTGAGCCACAGGCACCGCCCCCATATACTGAGGGTGGTGGGTTAGAGCGCGGCCCGTGCCAAACTGCTGCAAGAGATATCCGGGCGTCGTGGCGGGCGTCTGTAGTTCCAGCTACTTGGGAGGCTGAGACAAGAGAATCGCCTAAGCCTAGGAGTTGGAGGTTGTTTTTTTTTTTTTTTT